TATTTTTATCACATAATAAATAGTATAACAGAAAAATATATAATAATAAAAATTTATCAAAAAATTTTCAGATAGATATGAGAGATTATACCTTTTATACTAGCTTCTTTAAGTAATAATTTTACTAGTTCAAATTCAACTTTAATAATATTATTATTTATGATAATACATTTTATAATTTTTATTTCTAAAATAGCTAAAAGGATTTTTGATAACTAGTAATTTATCATTAAGTAAATGAATTATAAAATTAAAATTAGTTCTATCTTTTAAATAAATAGCTCTTTTTACATAAATATAATTTTTTGTTTTTTTTAATATATTTAAATAATCTAAGTATTTATAAGAAAAAAAATTGCTTATTTACAATATTATTAATAAAACCTTTTTATTGTAATCTTATTAGAAGTTTTTTTTACAAATAAGTTTAATAAAAATTGCAATATAAGTAATATTTTTAAGTTTTATGTCATGAATATAAATATAAAAGAATATCTTTTTCATATCACTACTATTGGTAATACTTATAATTATTTCTATATAAATATCTTTAAAAATATAATAAAGTATATTTTAGCTTAACTATCTAAAAGTTTAAGAGAAATAATATTTAGTATTTCTGTTAGCAATCAAAATTTATGATAGGATAGAGTAGCTTATTGCTATTAATAAATTTATGTAAAAAATAGTCTTTACAAATTGAAATACTATTATTATAATTTATATAAATAAGTATCAATATCAGTAATTTTTAACTTACAATAGTATAAGATAAAAATTCTGTAAAAGTGATATTATATCACAAAATATAATTTGAGAAAAAACTATATTATCTAAAAAAAAAATTCAAAATAAAAATAATTTTGAAATATAAAATTAATATATATATAATTAAAAATATAAAGTAATAGAAAGTATCAAATGGTATTTTATTAATATTCTTATATAACTAATAAAATTTGCAATCAGAAATACTACCAGTTATAATAAATGTAATAAATTAACATTTTTAAATATAGTACTTATAATATTTATATTAGAAAGTATTATAAACTGGAATAGTATTATCAGAAAAAGCTAAGTAAATTAACTTTAATACAAGTAATTGTAGGTAAAATAAATATAAATAAAAGTAATATAATTTAATACAATTTATTACTAATATTACTAGAAAAACTGATGACAAATATTAGTAATATAAACAATATGTTTTTTAAGAATTTTAGGTTAAAAAAACTTTTTTGACAGATATTATTAATGTCATCAATATTACTTAAAAATCTGAATTTTTTAATTTTTTATTTTATATATATATATATATTACATATATATTATATATAGATTATTTTATAAATTATATACAATATGAGACAAAAATAATTAAAATTGTAAAAAATGTAATAACTCAATAACTTATAATTAAAATTATTTCAAAATTTATAATTTTATTATTAAATATATAAACATTATATATAAAAATTTTAGTACTTTATTTTATTTTCTTACATTATATTTATCTTTTTAATTAAAATAAAAAAATAAAATAAAATAGATAATGTTAAATATTAAATACAATTTTCTCAATATCTAGTAATTTTATTTATATAAATTATTTTTTTTTATTTTATAACTTTAATTAAGCATTACAAAATAAAAAAAGTTTAATTAAATTAAACTATTAGATGCTGAAATATATACAAAAACAAAAAAATAAGTAATTTAGTTTATAATGAAAAAAAAGTAATTAGAATAATAAAAAAATACAATAAATTGATAAACAATAGTTAAAATTACTTTAAATTTTGCAATTATATTAATAAAATATAAATATTATAAATAAAAAGGTTTAGTATTTTATTATTATTCTTATATTGAAATTATCTTTTTAAAAAATAAAAATAAAATCGCTAAGCACTTGATGCATTTGGAAGGGTTTCTAGGAAAATCAGGTTCTGAGAAATTTTTGACTTAAATTAATAGCTTAATACATTTTAATATAATAACATCAAAAACTAAAATGCAATAAAAATCTCAATTTTGTTAAAAAATTCTCAGAATCTGATTTTTCTAGCAATCAACCCATTTAATTTTTTACTAATAGCTCTCGTTCATTTTATCCAAATTTCTAAAATATTAAATACAATTTTTTTAGCATTTAATATTCTATTTATATATATTTTATATATTTTTAGTTTTAATTAAACTCTACAAAATAAAAAAATTGTTTAAATTAAACTATTTAGATATTAAAATATTTACAAAATAAATAATTATATAAAATATACAGTATATGTTAAAATTTTAATCATATTTTTATTTAATTAAAAAGATAATTACAGTATAAAAAAATAATATAAAATATTATATATTTTAAGATTATTAGGTTATTTTATAATAAATAAATTATGATATATTATTGGTAAGAGATGGATTATAAATCAGCATTTTATATTCCACTTTAATAATCAAATAGATTAATTATAATAATACATATTATACTTCTAATACTTTAATTAATAGATCTATTAAGTTAGAATTTGAAAGTGGTAGAAAAATTTTAAAAAGTTTCTAGAAATACATTACGCATGTAATTTTTGATATAATAAATTATAAAAATTTAATCAACATATAATTTATAATTTTACTAAAACTTTAAAATACAAATAATAAAAAATATTTTGATTTAAAATAGTATCACATGATTAGTAAAATAGGCATCGTAAGATAGTAAATTTTCATTTAATTTTAATTAACATTATTTTATAATTTAAACAGATCTTAAGCATAATATTTTAATATTTAAACTGATATAAAAATAATCTGAAACTGTTGAACTAATAGAATCTCTTTGATTTTTTATTAATTTCTATAAGTTTCATAATAATTCTAAAATACTACTATGATATTTTATAATACTAAATCAGATTTTCAAATTATGTATTTTAAAGATCAATTAAAATTATACTATATATCAGTTAAAAGTAATTGTAGAATTACTATTTTATATAATATAATTTTTACAATAAAAATAAAATAAAGGTGCTAATATCTAATTACCTTTTTAGTAATATAAATACACAGATCAGCTAATATATAGCTAATTTCTTAGTAATAAAAGAATGCAAAAAGGCTAATAGATAATTAACAACTTAAAATTCTAATGACTATAAATAATCATCAGTAGGTAGATATTTATTTAATGATTTAATAGCTATAAACTTCTATTAATACAAATTTTATTAGAAAATATTTATATTATACAGCATTTAATAAAATTAATTATAATTAAATTATATAAATATATTACAATAGAAAGAGAGAAGACTATCAAAAATTTTATTTTGAATTAATATTAAATCTGAATTAAAAATAATATTTAGTTTATAAAATAAAAAATTATTTTATAATTTTTTTTTTTTTATTGCAAAATAATAGTCATAATTAAATTATTTAACTATAAAATAACAAAAAAATAAATAGGAAAAGTAAAGAAAAATAATTTCAAAGGTAAAAATATAGTAGATATAAATAAAAAAAAATATAAAATACTATTACATTTAGATTATTTAATTAAGTTATGTAATCTTATTTAGGTTATTAGATTTAAATTATTTAGTTATAGTTAGGTTATTATAAGATTAAATATCTAGTTTAAACTGTTTATGTTTAAATCATATAATTATATTATTTAGATATAACCAGCTGAGTTTTGTAGTTTTTTTAATAAAGTTTTAATATAATTTTGTTAAATTTTATCTTTTATTATTTAAATGATTTATAAAACTTCTAAAGTTTGTTTAGCAATCTTAAATAAAACAATATATATTTAAATTTTTTATTTTTATTAAAATTTATATTTAATATTTATTAAATAAATTTAAAAATTTTATAAGTTATCTAAATGGTAAAAGATAAATTTTTAGTAAATTTATTATTAAAATTTTATTAAATATTAACAAAATTAAAGATTTAGATATTTTGCTAAATAAAAATATTTTAGACAAATAATCTTAGTTATATCAATAAATTAATATATTTTAAAAGTCATTAATATGTAAATAATAAATAATCATACTATTACTAATAATTAACTTTAAAAATTTAATATAATTCTTTTAGTAATTAACAATAAAATTTTATTCATTATTGATATAATTTTAAGTTTTTATCAGAATTCATTATATATATTTATTACAATTAAAACAAAAAGATTTATATATTTATTTATTTGTTTTAAATAATATAATTATTAACTATAACTTGTTATAGTTTAAAATTAGACTTAATCTAATAATAAAAAGCAAGATAATTATTAAAAGTATTTAGATATCCTAACAAATAATTATTAAAATCTACAAAAAGCTTTTGTTTTCAAAAATCATTATATTACCTTTTTTTAAGTAATTGTTAATAAAATGTATATTAAATTAAGTATATTTGTAATAAAATAATATTAAAAGTTTATAATATTATAATTTAATTCAAGATAACTTTTTAAGATTTCATGAATAAATTTTATTATATGTAATTTACATGCTGCTGCTTTATTTCACAGTAGTAATTAATTGATTTGATCCTTTTTCCAAATTTATAACCAATTAGCTCCAAAATAATGTAAGCTTTGTTGGTAATATATAATAAAAAAATTATGTAATTAAAAATTCTAAAAAGCTGTTTTTTCAAATATTTAATTAATTAATTTTCAATACTTTGGCGGGGGGTATGTATAATTTAGTATTAAAAGGATCAATAAGAACTTACTATAATTTATAAACTTACGCCACTATTACATATACTTGACGTTAAATATTATATTTAGGTAAACTAAAGCATCGTAAAATAATAGATTGCAAAAAAATTAAAACTTTGGGTTCAAGCTTTTTATAAGGACGGTAGAAAAGGTTATGTGTAATAATATAGTTATTGAAGGATAGGAATCTTTTGTAGTTTTTTTTTAAAAGTCTTTCGTGTATACTATTTTAGCAATAATAAAAACGGCTATGAAGTATGAAGCTAGTAAAGTTTTATATTTACTTTTGGTAAGAGTATATATATCAACAAAAAGTGGTTGATTCTCAAAACATTTTCTGTGCATGTCTATTTGTAATTTAAGGATTCGATTTTCGTGATGAATTCTAAATTCGATTTTTGGGCTGCTGGAAATCATATAAAAAGAAGGCGAGCAAGTAAAACAAACAAAGAATAAATTTAAGCTATGCAGTTCTTTGTAACATTTGTCGGAATTGCAAAAAATGTGTGTAGTAAAAAGACTTACCTTGATGCTGTACATCAATTAGAAATTTATCTGAAACAACTTCACGTATCGGAATGGAATGTGAAAAGAGCGTAGGTTCGAGATTACTTAGTTCTCTTGCAAAACTTGAACCGTTTCTTATGAACATACGCAAGCTTGAATCTTTATATGGAGTGATATACAGTAAGTAGATTGTAGTGAGTTATAACAATAACAATAATGGTGATAGAACAATCAAACATAGAAAATTTCCGGAAATGTGAGAGAGCAAAGAAATAATATGACGCAGGGACTCGCTTTATATGAAAGATGAGTGACAATAGGCTTCCAAAATTTCATAAACAATAGATAAAATTTAATGACACATATTGATAACATATGCCTTGATATGTATGAAAGAATTATAAATTTAGATTCTTCTTAATACATTTTCCCCTTTTTAAAGGACGAAAAACCAAAATGATGTTTCAATTGTCTTTAAATGAACAAGTGAAATTATCATCAGAAAGTGGCTGTGCTGTGGCGCGAGGCTTGCGTAATGTAATACAATAATAATGTAAAAAAAAAAAACTTCGATATTATTCTGTTTTTAAAATAAAAGGTTGTGTTACTCCACAAGTTTTTTTTTACGAATTAATAAAATTTTGAGTTTATAAAAGAATATTTGGTATCGAGTTATTTAAATGTTCATAACTGAACCAATAATGTGACCACAAGATATTTTGGAAGCCTAAAAATTTTTTATAAGGCTTTCGAGAAGATCTATTTAATCTATACAATCACGGGTATTTGTCAAAAAAAAAAAAAAAAAAATCGAATTTTAAATGTTTACTGCGGTTGACACATTGTGATGTTTTTTTAATGTAATCGCATCTATACTTGCATCAATGAATAAAGAAGATAATAAACCGGTTCCTTTCTTCACAAAATCCTGTTTATTTCGGAATTTAAATGTTGTGTGTTCATCTTGCTTTTGTGAATAAAAGATTTTCCCCAACAAAAAAAAAAAAAATTGTTTTTATTTAAGAAAAATAGAAACACCTCTTAACAATAATGATATGATATTATATTATCCTCTCCATGTAACACTTGAAAAATAGAAACACAAAAAGAAGCAATAATGTGAGTAGAATTTTTTGTCAATAAGAAAGGAAGAAAAGATGACAAAATGAAAAACCGAAATAGGTTAAGTCGTTGTCTTACAACAGAATTATAAATAATTTGGAATTCGAAAAGCAGAATAATTAAAACCCGGAGCAAATGAAAAGGATTTAATACTAATTAAAGATATAGAAACAGATACGTAATGTAATGAAAGATTAATCAAAGTAATCAAAATAAATAAATTCACAATAATTTACATTAGAAAGGTCTAGACCGATACAATTGGATCAACAATGTTGATGTCTATTGTAAGACTTTTCAAACAGGTTCAATAACATGAATCAGATTACATGTGAATACACTTTTTGAAACAAGTATTACAGGAACTAAAACCACTCAATTACCAACATTATTCAAATTCAACTTGCTACAAAGTAATCAGATAAAAAGATTTTTCATGCAGATAAATATTCGGAAGTTTTTTTAATAAACTGTAAAAAAATGTATGTGATTGACATTATATAAATTTTAATGCAATGTTTAAAATATTTAATTTTGCAGTAGATGAATTAGGTAACACTTTTCAAACAATGAATCAATTGGTAACGAGTTGCGGAAATTAAATAAAAAAGGGCTACCTTATCAGTAATGAAATAAGGCTAATATGGTAAATTTGGATGCTGCGCATAAAGTGTCAAATATGGTTAAATTTTACATCACAGAACCGATAATTGTCAAATGGCCGGACTGGTAGCGGGAAAGTCTGAACTTTAAAATATTCCAATTATGGCAGGGATGTTTGTGCTATTAACCGAAGAGGTTGAAACGAAAAATTCATCGATTGGTTGATGGGAGAAAAAAAAAATAAAAAGCAACACAAGATTATTCATTCCGATATGCAAGCCATCATGGGCACAAAAAAAAGAGGTGATGAATATAATTGAAACCATGAAAAAAGGGGGAGATCGGTCTTTCACTCCGTTTTTTTTTGGTATTTATTGACAGTATGATACAAGAAACCTTTTATGCATGACATCATTTAATGGGCAATCTTCTGCAAAATTAAATAAAATTCGGTGAATTTTATATTTTCCTCCTTGTTGGAAATGTGCCAAACCGTCCACTCAAATTAGTCTGCTCATTTTATAAAAAGTGATTGTAGTTGCTTATTAAGGTTGAACTCAAACTATGACTTACTAGAATGATTTGGTTAAATGTGAAAAAGACAAAAAGACTTAAAAAAAAGTAGTTCAAAAAAAAATTCTCCCAATCAAAAAATTTTTTAAAAAAAAATCTCATCAGATAAATCATCACTTTTTTTTTTGAAAGAAAAAAAAGAAAAATTTTTTTTATTATGTTATTTAAATTGTTTTTTATTGTTATAATGTTTTAATGTTTGTTTATTATGATGTTTGTATTTCTGATATGATCAGTGATAGGATTAACGTTCTTTAAAGGTAAGTGTAGTATCGCCAAATTTTCCCCCTTTCTAATTTTTTTTTTTCTCCGACCATTCTCAATTGTTCTGATTGTTTGTAAAAATATTCCTTTTTGCCGCTATAGCAGGTATACTTTTGTATAACATAAGAGTTAATTAAAAAAGTATAAACTGAAAGTAACGACGCAGCCATCAACCTTTCATTAATTTCCCTTACGAAAATTTGCCGAAAGTGAGACAAAAAAAAAATGGTGGACTTATGTTGTGTCATTTGAATTTTTTTCTTGTATGTATTTATATAAATAAATATATATTTCACTTTTTCTCTAGACTTTTTTAGATGATGTAAAGAGAGGAAAAAGAATTCTCATGCAATTAATTGGGTGTGTAACTCATTTTTTTTTCCCTTTTTCTGTATAAATAATTTTATAGTATAGTATAGTACAAAAAAATATAACTGAATTTTATTAGTTAGCATTGAAATTTTTTTTTTCCGGTAAACATATATCATCACACAAATTCTAACTATTCCTTCCCCCCTTTTTTTCATTTTTTTTCTCCTCTGGTTATTTTTTCCTCCATTAATGTTTTGAATTTGTTTTAAAGGAGAATATTTTTATTTTTTTTTTTATTTTTTATTTTTTTATCTTATTTTTATCTAAACCTTATCCATTTTTCTTTAAAGAAAAAAAAAAAAAAAAAAAAATCGACTATTTTTTCTTCGCGCGCACGCACACTAAAAATATATATATATATATGTATATGTATGAAAAATTTTAAGAATGGGAACTCTTGAAAGACCATTTTCTTCTTCTATTCAATCTTATTCACAAAATGACTCTCACTTATCAACGTCTCAACAATCTTCCGCACCTACATTTTATGAATCAAGAAACGAACGAAGATTGTTTGGACATCCTCATATATACCCACCTCCATTTCCTCCTTCTAGAGCGAGAGACAGCATTGATACTAAGCAAAGTATTAGTTTGTTAAATTCGAATTTAGGTTCTGACGATAGTTCTGGAACAAAACGAGTGAATAAAACTCATGTTCCTAGCGCCTGTGTCAACTGTAAGAGAGCACACCTTGCATGTGACGGTTAGTTATCTTTTATCTTTTTTTTGGTCAAAAAAAATATATTTTATAATGCAAATGGTGCTCTTTTTTTTGTCACACGTCGATGAAAACTTCTCAGTCATTCAAATTTCGACACCCACCTTCACAATACTCTGATATGTTATACATTTACGCCTATTTTATACACACTAAAATCAATATTTATATATACGTGTGTGGTGTGACTAGAGAGGGACGACTGTTAGTTTAAATTTAGTTTAATCTATCCCTAATCGTTATATCCAATCCCTTGGATTGTTTGTGCATCGGAAAATTTTTTGAATCGGAAATTATTTTGATTCTCTCTTGGAAAATTTAATTTTTTAGCGCAACAAATCAACACCTTTACATCTCGTATAAAAATTTTCGTTTAACGAATTTAATTTATACTTACATTTTCTTTTTTTTCTTTCTTTTTTTTTTTTTGACGTTAAATTCGTTGCAGTATCGAGACCTTGCAAACGATGTGTAGCTCTTGGAAAAGTGGATACTTGTATCGATATAAAACACAAGAAACGCGGACGACCAAAATTGAAGGACAAGAAACCACACCCTTACAATACTCATGCAACTGCAGACGCAAAAACTTGGGGATCAAATCCTCAATTTCTACCACCAACTACCACAAACCCAACACAACCAACGCAACCAACACAACCAACACAACCAACTTTACCACAACAGAAAGATCAACCCCCGTCATTTCCAGATCCGCGTCCGTTACCTCCTAGAAACCCTGTGCACCAGCCTCGTCATCAACCTTCATACAATGTAAAATCACCAAAACTCATTAGTCAACCACCACCTCCACCTCCACCACCTAGGCCGATTTCAAGACCACAACCCATAATACATTCACAAGAACATAGTCCCATCATTACAATGTTTTTGACAGTCGACAACGTTTCCTGTGCAAGAGTTTCGGAAGAATGTCTTGGCATTATGGGATATTACCCGTTAGAATTATTGCATAAATCCTTATATAATTACGTGCATGCTCAAGACATCGAAAGGGTACAAAAATTGGTTTCTTCGTTATACGAGGATGCGTATCGGTATTGTCAAGCATCCCAATATTCATCATCTAATAATACCCCCGTCACATCCGAAGATCCAGGATTTTCACAAATCAGCCCAGAAATTTTACAACATCCAGCTTCTAGGGGTCCAATAAATGACGTATCTGATTTGATACACATGAGACAAAGAATAGGTCAATATGATTTGTATGATGTAAGAATGTATTTTGGTGGTGGTCTCGGTGCAAATTTGGCACGTAAAGAAACTTGGAATAAATTGTATATTGTGGGACGTTTCACTCGTGTCAAAATTGGAACTTGCTTAACAAACGACGGGTCTAATTACGTTCAACCAAGAAATTCAGTTGCTGGAGGTTTTTCGACATCAAACACATCACCTTCAAATATCCCAATTGATCCCGAGCTATTAAATATGCATCATAATCACATTGGTCCGTCCGGTTCGAGTTTAGGTGTTGGAAGATCGGGTCTTATAAGTCCCGTTTTGTCACCAAGAACTCCTGAAATCGTTCCAGCACCTTTATATGATGACTTACACCCTATACCGAATTATACTTTCGGTCACAAAAAACCTCTTCACCCTCATTCTTCGTACGATCATTTTTCACAAGATCGTCGTTCGCAGGATCATCGTAACGTTTCTGAAACTTATACTCCATCTTATTCACGTACAAATCCAAATATTCCTCGACATGAACCTCTTTATTTACCCTCTTCATCGATGCCAGTCTATTCATCTTCAGGATCACAATCCTCATCGTTATTCGAAAGGCGCTCTTCGGCGTTTAATATGGTCAGGCCATCTCCAATCGATGGTTCCTTATCTTATTACAGCGAAGCCGATAAACATTCAACATACATCAATCGATCAAATCGTCCGCATAATTATCATAATAATAATTATAATGTTAATTATAATCATTCGCATCATCAATACCACGATGATAGGTATCAAGATTATAGTGATAATTATGATAGTGATAATGATGATAGTGATACGCAATCTTCGTCGTCACAGAGCGATTCTTTCCCAAAATTTCAAAATGATGAACGAGTAAAAGACGTGATTGTTTCTTCTATACCAAGAGCATCATCTTCACGTGTGGGCACAGTTCGAGAAGAATGTTCTTCAACAAGGATGAGCGTAAATTCGTTACTATGTTAATAATGGGTTTCGATTTCTTTATTTCTTTCTCTATTCGTCATGTTTGCAACGCATTTATGAATGAAAGGAGATAATGTTAATCTTGTATCTATGACGCCCCCCTCTCAACTCTTAAATCTAGGGTTATGTTGGTATACTCGCAATGGGATGTGATTTATGATATTTTTATTACTATTTTAAAATTCCATAACATATTTTTCATATTTCTTATATATACATACACATACACATACACTTTGGAGATTTCTCTTCTCTTTATTTTATGAAGAAATCAAGAGATTTTATACAAAAATTCTGTGTAAATTTTTTCTCGCGTTTCCTTTTGTTTGTTTTATTTATCACAACAAAGACCCCTGGCTTTATTATACAGGTGGAAAAATCATTGGATAAATTGAGGTGGAGAATTTTCGGCGAGATGGGCTTTAAAAGATGTAATAATGAGCTAATAATATTCACGAATTCCTAATCATCCTTCCATCACATTTTTATACTCCAATTAAATCTTTTAACGAGTCCGTCGATCGGAAACCCATTCCGCGCTTAATTTTCCATTTCAAAATTACTTTTCTTTGTATAGAAGTTTTCTTTTAGATTTTTTATATATTATGTTATATTATATTACATATTCTTTTTTTTTCAGGTCTTTTTTTTTTTTTTTTTTGGTGATATCCACTGTATTTATTATTTGCACATATATATATTTATTATTATCCTTATTTATTCTTATGCATATTTATTATTTTATTTTTATTATTATTATTATTTATTATTATTATTACTACTATTATTATTATGTTATTATTATTATTATTATTATTATTATTATATTTAATTTTTTTTCTACTAGTGATGGGTGTACTGGATAAAAAAGTAAAAAAACAGAAACGCGGTTTTTTTTTGTGATAAAATTTTCTTTTTTTTGAAATTTGTTAATACTTTTGGGAATATTTATTATATATATATATTCATATTTTTTATTATTATAAAATAAGAGATTTTTTAGCAACGTTCCCTTTAAAAAATTACACGTTCATTATTTCATGAACATAGTTAGTTCCTTAATGAAAATTTAGTCTAATTTGTCAAAAAAAAAAAAAAAAAAAAATTTACACGCGTTGCAAATTATGATACTTACCTTATGCAAATATGTGAAAAAAAAAAATTTTTTTGAAACAAAACAAAAAATAAAATAAAATACATTTAACATTAAGAAAAATTAATTCTCCGGATCGACTGATAATATCATATTTGATTTTGTCCGAGTCAAATTAAATTGAATTTCGGGTCAATTTCTTCTCTCACATTCAATTTGTAAACGATATTGAAAATCATTGTAAATTATTAAGTCGATTAAAGATCAATTCTTAAAATGTATCCTTTTTAAAAAATTTCCGCTGAAGCCCTTACATTTCACGTGATTTTTTGTCATTCAACACTTTTTTTTTTTATATGCGGTGAAATGTACGATTTATTTGGTCTAGATTGCGGATATTAAAAAAACCTTATCGGCGATTCATCAATTTGTGTCATTCAAAATATTCCAACGATGATTTTCATCCGTTTTTCCCAAATTTGTATCATAATATTTTCCATAAAGCCACGTGAAAAGTTGAGTAAATAATTCATAATTGATTTTGAAAGCTCATAGTGCTACAAATTTTTCTTATAAAAGTTAGTAGGCGTAAAGTTGAAATAAATTCAGGTTTCATGTATGTTAAACCGGTTTTAAAAAAAAAAAAAATTCCGAAATCTGGTAACGAATGATTTCTCATTTCTCTTTTGCTATGGTTATATTGATTTACAGCGAAAAGGTTCTATATGAAATTAATATATCTCATGTTTAGATAAATGTTATGAGATCAAAATTATTAATTATAAAATTGTTTTTTTTTTTTTTTTTCAGTCAAACTTCTCTCGATCAAACTTCTCTAAATGCACCCCCCGCGACTATGAAAATATGCATTTAAAGAGAGTGCATTTAAAAAGAAATTCTTTATGTGCTTAGAGCATGCACTTCGAGAAAAAATATATAATGTGTGCAACGGTTTGACCGTACTAATTTAATTAATTTAAGATTTCTCACTATTTGATCTACAAAAAGATTGATTTTATTTACTTTTTTAAATATTTTTTTATATTGATATTTATGTAATAATATATTTGAATTAACAATTATTAAATATTTATAAAATCATAAATTTTTTTTTTAAAATAAAAAAATTTATTATTATATTTATAAATAATAAATAAAAATAATTATTATTTTATAAAATATCTGTAATATATCAATTTTTAAAATTTTATTTTTACAAAATAAATTAATATATAAAACCTCTATTACAACTTCATAAAAATTTTTTATTAATTCTTTAAAACTAATTAATAAAATTATATTATATCTAATAAACTTATTTAACTATATGAAAAATATTATCAATAAAATCAATTTAAAAGACTAATAAATAATATGATCTACAATATAATATTACTAATAATATTTTTCATATACTTACTAATTTAGATAATTATTTTTAATAAAGAATTTAAATTTTTTTAAATTTTAAATCTTATAAATAATTAATTTATTATAAAATATTCTTTATAATATATCAAATATAATAAAAAATTTTTAAAGCTATTCATTTTTTATTACAAGAAAATAAAACAAATAATAAAGGTAATAAGAATAAAAAAAATAATTTAATAATTTTTTAATAATATAAAAATTATATAATAAAATAAATTATAAGTATATAAATAATAAAAATAATAAAAAATTCATGTAATTAATTAAAATATAATGATTAAATTAATTAATAATATAATTTAAATGTATTAGATATTTATTATAATTATTAGGCTAAAGTAAAGATTGCTTATCTAAACTTATTTTAGATTTAGCAAACCATTTTTATAAGTTTTGATATGTTTGTAGTTTGTAATAAAAAAAATCTAAAATTATAAAATTACATTTTATAAAAATCAATAATGTAAATTACATAAAAATTTATATAATTATTTTTTAATATAAAATCTAATTACTATTTGAATATTTTTTTAATAGAAAGAAGAAAATTATTAAAAAAAAAATTATTTTTATTTTATAAATTAAATATGATTTTTTTAATAAATAAGCTTATATTTAATTTTAACTTAAAAATTTTTTTTGAAATTTCTTTTCTTTTTATTACAAAAAACTTATTTTTTCTATAATAAACTTATAATAATATTTTATTAATTATACTAATTTAATTAAGGTTAATTTGAAAATTATATTCTATTTTTTGATTAAAAACTATTATAAATTATTAATATATTTTGATATTTTTTTATTTATATTATTTTAATAATACTTCAATGATTTTCTATTAAATTTATATTATAACTATTAGAAAACTAATCAATAATTTCAGAAAAATTTATCTAAAAAGTTTTTAGATTATTATTTTATTAAAATTACTATTTGTTTCTAAATAAATCCTAAATTTTAAAAGTTATTTATAAAGAATATTTACATAAATTTACATTAATTATTTTAGAAAATAATGTAAACTTATTTTTTTTATGCAGAAATCTTTTTATATAAAAATTTTTATTTAATCTTTAAGCATAAAATATATCAGTCTCTATCAGTGTGTAAAATTTATGTGCACAATGTGCACATATGCACATTAAATTTTTATGTGCACATATTACACAGCATAAAATATGCACAAATAATTACTAAAAATAGATAAATTATATATAAAAATGGATAAATTATTTATAAAAATGGAAATACTATGTAATACATACATTAATTTTCTATTTTTAGTACAACTTGTGCACATGACTTTTGGTCTAAATTTTATACACTGGTCTCTATCTTTATATTAATACTTTAATATATTTCAAAAAAATTGAAAAACAGTTTTATCTAAAAATAATATATTTTTTAATCATTAAGACATTTTTTGATTTATTATCAGACTCATTTTTAATTATCTTAATATCTAAGTTAAAAGGTTATGACAATTAATTCTACACATAAAATTTTAACCTTAGTATTTTTTCTAAGTCTTACAAGTATCTGTTATATTTGAATCAATTTGATAATTTATTATATTTTAAAATTTAAAATATATTTAATCAAACTTATAATAATAAACTCAAATAAATTAGTATAAAGTATCATAATAAATCTTAGATAAGAGATAATATTAAAAAAAAAAATTTATATATTTTTAAATTAATTTTTTATTAAAAGTAAATTTATTCATTATGAGAGGCAATACTTCTTATACATTACCTTTATATATATACTTTATCCTAATCCTAACCTAACCTAACTTAACTCTAAATCATGTGATACTAACATATATGACAAATAGGATTTCACACATGAAAAAATTTCTAAGTTCTCAGAATATATATAAAAAATAAAAAAGAGTGAAGGTGTGATACGAGTGATAAAAAGAGTGATAATATTATATATGTAATAAATAAATTTACTTTTTATTAATAATATTAAAACTTGTATTTATAAAAGAGTTAATTTACAACTTGAACCAAAAGCTATTCTATTTATATAAAACTAATTTACTATACCTAATTACTTATTATGTTATAGATTAGCTAAATATAAATATATATCCTAATAAAATTATACTTAAATATAATAAAAATAAAATAAATAATAAAAAGAAATAAAATAATTTATAGATATTAAAAGAATTACAGACGAAATAAAATAAATAAAATAAATAAATTATATAGAAATACAGAAAAAATAGATAAATAAAAATTATTATTAATCACTATTTGATACAGTGTATAAAATTTAGACCAAAAATCATATATACAAGTTGTATTAAAAATAGAAAATTAATGTATTTATTACATAGTATTTCTATTTTTATAAATAATTTAATTTTTTAAAAAAACTCTTTCTCCCTTTTTGCAAAAATGCCCAAAAAAACAGAAAGAAAGAATACCAACCGCGGCCGCTCGGCT